TGAAGATTTTAGTGAAATATGATATTGTGTGCGAAAACTCCAATATCTCCTTGACAAATGGAGGGAATCAATGCGAGAGGTACTGAGGAAAGAAGCGGTTCGATCATGTAATGATGTGATAAAGAGTCTTCCTAGTCAAGAAAATATCCATGCTTCGCAAAAATTGAGCAGCATTTCCCAGAAAATTTAAAAGAAGGGGAAGAAGTCGGCAGCTTAGATGAGCTGTATTTATTGGTTTTTTTTTTCAGTGGTGATTTCTTACTGGATTTCGTTGATTACTCATGAGAAAAGTCCCTAGCTCAAGAAAGTCAAGATTCAAAAATTAATTTTTTTGAAAAATGAGAGTATGATGTGAGCACGAAGGGTGTGAACAATTCAAGCAAGCAAGCAACCAAGTCAAGAAAGGAAGTAACCCTTAAAGAAGTTAAAAACACATGGGAAATCTATCTCCACTCATGAGAGATTTTTTCGCACTCAAGAGATATTTTTCTCTCAAGAAGGAAAGTTTCCTTTTCGTCTCCATATCTTTCTCAAATGTCAAAAAGGAACCCAAAATCCAGGAATTGTGGAAATCTATCAAGAGAGAATCAAAATTATATATTTCTAAGTTTTCAAACCAACATTATGTCTTCCTAAAAGAGAATATTCGCATGTGAAAAAAATCAAGGGAGATCATGGAATGATTCTAAATATTTATCATAAGATCATGGATGGATTTACTTTCCTCAAGATCCAAACATCTTCATTAAATTAAGATATCTTCAAAAGATTTTATTTAACTACAAAATCTTCTTAAATCAATCAATCTTTCAAGAAATGAAAATACTCTCCATTTAAAAGAAGGTATCTCCACAATTAATGAAAATACTCTCCATTTAAATCATATATATCCTATTTTAGTTGTAATTATCTTAATTTTGTTTGTTTTCTTATTTAAGTCTAGAATTAATTTTCTATGTATTTTTTATAATTAATTTAATAGATTTATTTCCTGTGTAATGCATGTGGTCTACAGTATAAATAGGTCTTTAATTCATAATTATAATAATTGAAGTTTCATTCAATAAAATTACAAAGTTTTAGTTTTCAACTATTGAGGTTTTGTTCAACCTTTTTTTTAAGTGAGAATTGATTTAACTTATCAAGGTAACTTCTTGTGGCATTTTATCAATTTTTTTTTCGAATTAATTTCTAACTTATCATATTCATACTTGTGGCATTTTTAATCAATTCAAACTATCCAACTTATCTTAGTCCATAATTCCAAGTGAATTATTGTGTTACTTAGGGAGGATATATTAAGAGTTTCATGATTCTGAATGTTAATGTTCTATGCAAAATTTTTGATTTATTAGTTGATCCCGAGTTTTGCATCAATACCACAAGTTACCTTAATAAATAAACATCAATTCTCTTCTCAACAAGAAGATTAAAGAAACCTCTCTAAAAAACAACTTAGCCAACCGCTAAACAAAGTTAAAAACTTAATTTTATTGATCTCAACTTCGATGTTTACAATCAAAGGAGTAAGGCCTTTATATAGGCATAAGCTTTACTAATTTTACTAGAATTTAAAAGCTAAATTGTAAAAAAAGAAAAACCTCTAATTACATACTTATATAGGATTCTAATAAAATATTAATTTAAAGAAGCATAAACATGATTAAAATAAAAGTCTTCTCTCTTGAAAAATGGTGGGGTTGTGGTTGAATTCTCCATACTTTATTTTACTTGGACTTGGACTTCAATATTTAATTAATTGTTGTTGAAGAAGTTGAGTTGAAGATGCCTTAAAAGTTTCCAAGTTAAAGTAGAAAACAATTTCTCTTCCATGAGAAAATCTAAGAGGAAATCCAACATTATCCATGAGCAAATTAAGGATGAGAATTCGGTTAAGAATAGGAATTCTTCCTCCTTTGGGTTTCTTTCTTCTTTTATTATTCCAACTCTCTTTAATTAATTAATTTTTTGAAGTAAAAAAAATCCTCTTGGACTCTAGAATACCAATTTGACTCCAACATCCATGTTTTCGCAATTCCTAATCCTAAATGAATTCTTGAAAAAAATAAAATTAGATTCTTTAATCTTGATTCCCGTGGGTTGCCTTCCCCTTACTCGTATCATACTACCTTCTTGATAATGTGTCGGCCATAACATTTTCTTTGCGTTGTTTATACTTAATTACATATGGAAAAGACTCAATAAATTCTATTCACTTATCATGCCTTTGGTTGAGCTTCCCTTGTCTTTTCAAATACTTCAAAGATTTATGATCTATGTGAATCATAAATTCTTTAGCAAAAGATAGTGTTGCCACACGTTCAAAAGATTTATGATTTTGATGTCAAAATTTCTTCTTTTATGTAGTTTTTCCATGTGTCACTATTGTGTTAGTTTGCCATCTCCACTTAAGAAGTAGTTAAATTTTGATTGAATATTACTGGTGTAGATCATTATTTTAATTATTATTTCCATGTATAGTTTAGGGAGTTAATTTTATGTTATTTTGCAATCTTCATATGCATCTCTTGCATTTTGGGCACTGATGGAACTTTTGACAAATTTTAGGATCTATATTTTAGAGTTTAACCTATATTTGAGACTTAGTATGGTTTTCCTATGAAACGTCTTCATCATGTCCATATGAAAGCCCTAGCTCAAGATAAAAAGACCTTTCAAAACTTACCTTTGAAGAAAGGGGCAGCCAAAACCGACTCTTGAGAAGTTGTTGGATCGAGGTATAACATTATCCATCCACCCACCACCAGCAGAGGGCGTTCAATTCCCATTATACATGATATGGTGAAAAAGATTGATTCATCAAGATATCCTTTGTTTGCATTAAAATTTAAAACTTGTCTTATACTTTCAAGAAATGTTCAAAAAAGAGAACTTACAATAATACAATGTTGCATTCTCCAAAGATTGAGGAATAAGAAGAATCTATTAAGAGAAAGATTTATCAAAGAAAAAATCTTAATAGTTACGTACAATCATAAACTACACAAAAGGTGTCCTCTTTTCATGGGGATTTACCCATCACAAAGATATAAAGAGGAACAAAGCGAACTTTATATATCCATTTTCCATTCAATCCAAAAACAAGATTGGATGTTATTCTGGTTTGTCTCCATTTTCATGAAACTATTCCTCAAGCAAGGCAGTCGATACATCATTAAAGGGTTTGTGTGAATATTGGAATGGTAAACATTACTCTTTAAAACTTTCACTTTATGTAAATTCTTATCACATAACTGTGTATGAGAATATGTATTATTATTTCCTAATAAGCTTTGTAAGATCCTTAAAATTTCAACTATTCTTGAGGGAGCAAACGAAATTTACCATAGTGATTTTTTATTATTAGATAAAAAATTAATACAAACCCCCTAGAATTTGTATTTTGGAGTTTAACTTGTATCTAATATGTGTGGGTATTGTGCATAATAATATGTTAGTATTCTCATAAATGCTCCATTTCAAGGAGGATGCAATACGTGGGTTGTCTTGTCCTGCACAAGCGTGCAAACCTATATTGATGTCATTTAAGAAACTCATAATGAAACCTAAAATTAAATAAGTCAATATTGAATAGGTAAGAATCTTGTCTTTATAAATTAAGATACTTGGAAATAATAATTTTTTTTTTTTTTTTTAATGAAACCGGATAATGTTTAAAAATTATAAAAGGGTAAAGTAAAATCTTATTAATTTGTGAGCTATTCATTCATTTGGTATATTATTATTAAAATTTTTCAATGAGATAAGTGTTCAAATTTTTAATGTAACGATTAATTATCTTTACGTATTTCTTTGCATTTTTAGGATTTTTTAATATGACAATGTAATGAGAAATGTTGAGAAATTTAGAAATTCTTCTGTAGGGGTAAGATTACATATTAAGATTTGGAGAACATTGAACATAAGGTCGTAAAGAATTTTATTTAAACTTTGAAACTTCAACCCATGTTTTTAATCCTGAAAAAAGAAATATTTTTATGATGAAATATTGAATTATCTAAATCTTTAACCTTGGATATAATTGAATATTAATGAAAATTCAGCTGGAAAAATTAAAACACAAAAAATAGAAAAAAAAAAAAAAAAAAAAGGATGAAAAAATTTGCAATTATGTCTATTTTCTCTTTGAATCTTTGAAAATTGTAGAAATTTAAATTTTCGTTCTAAAAATCTAAATTTTATAAATTTAAAACCAAACATCAAGTGAGAGTAGCATGATGTCGAGGAAGAATGCAAGTTAAGAGCAGAAAATTTCACAAATTGTTGTAGCATTGATGAGGTATAATTGCCAATTGACTAATTTCTACAAACTCCTCACTAATATTTTCTTGATAAAAAGTTGTCATTTTACAGAATTAATGATAGTCTTCTATTAGTCACTATCGCTATTTTCTTCAGGAGGGAGGGATAAAAATGGGTGGTAGATGAGTTTGAAGAAAAACAAGAGACAACAATGAGAAAATAAATAAGTGGAGGGCATGCGTAATTGTTCTTATGTTCTCATCAAAATTTTAATGTTGTTTTGTCCTGTTGCTTTATCCCTTCTCCTCCATGGGTCTTCACCCTCTGGCTAGACTGCAATTTGGTTTCTTTTTCTTTCTTGGGATAAAAATATTTCACCCAGTTTACCAAAGTCCATTACTTGCTCCTACTTGGTTTTCTTGCTTAATTTAGTCTTCTGCAAAACGTAAAGGAGGTAGATGATGACCGTAAAAGCTTCATAATTACTGCTTACAACTTTTTTCTTTTTTAAAAGATATTACCTAAGATTCTAAACCCACAATGCTTGGATAACTATATAGAAACCCAAAATTCTCTTGCTTTATTTATTTATTTTTTCAAAAGATAGCAAACAAGTGGAATTACTCTTAACATTTCAAAGCTAAAGTGAAAAGAAAAAGTTAAACGTAAGTTGAAGCTTAAAGAAAACAGATGCACACACCTCTACTTACAAGGCTCTTCTTCCCACCTGAGGAAGCTTTGAAGTATACTTCATCTTCTCCAAAGAAACTAAAAAAGAAAATGGACTGTGGGCGATGTTTGTTTTTCACATGTGTATGGCTGTTGCTCGTATTTGCATCTTCTGGTCAAAAGGTATCTGTCTCTTTTTACTACGAAACTCTGTGTCCGTATTGTGCTGATTTTATAGTGAATCATCTGGTCAAAGTGTTCGAGAACGGCCTCATCTCCATTGTCGATCTCAGGTTGGTTCCATGGGGAAATGCTTTCTTCAAAACCGATGGCTCCATTGTCTGTCAGGTTTGCTTCTTTTCTAATATATAATATATACATACATCCCTTATATTGATCATCATCTGGGTAATCTGTTTTCTTCTTCTTCTCTGGAGTGCAGCATGGACCAGACGAATGCTTGCTGAATACCATTGATGCATGCGCTATAAACATGTACCCTGATGTGGTGAGTTCATATATTATATATATATATATATAGATCGATTAATATATATTCCGTAAGCTGAATTGGAAATGTTTACGATGTATACATACATAGGAAAGGCATTTCAGTTTTATCTATTGCATAGAGCGATTGACATTGATGAACCAGCTGAGCTCGTGGGCCAACTGTTTTGAAATGGCTGGGTTGAGTAGGGAACCTATTGACTGCTACACAAATGGATATGGAAGATCAGTAAGTTTGTTTAACTTCTACTCTCTTTTATGTTTTATTTTTTTATTTTTTTAAAAAATTATTCTTTTGACTCCAATTATATATAATAAGTATTAGGTGATGTAGGAGCAAAATAGAATAGAATGCTTTGCCAACTCTATTTTTATATATCTTATATAATTTTTAACATAAGTTTAATTTCTCCGTTGTATAATTTCAATAATTAATAACAACTTTTACCAATGCACATTCACCATCCTAATTTTTGGGTGATATATCAACAATGAAAATATAATTGTAAAACGAAAAAAAATATTGGCCTTGTATTATGCAGCTAGAAGAGAGAGATTTTGCAGAAACTAGTCAGCTAAATCCACCGCATAGATTTGTGCCCTGGTTGGTTGTGAATAATCAACCACTGCAAGAGGTTGGTTTCCTGGTTTTAATTTTTTCCTTTTCCTTTTAATTATAACATATATATATGTATGTATATACTAAAGTTTTAAAATTTTGTGTCTATACAAGGACTACGAAAATTTCATGAGCTATATTTGCAATGCTTATAAAGGCAATGGATTACCAGAGGCGTGCCTTGGGCTTCCATTGAAGAATGAGTACTGGGTGGAGAAGTCCAATTCAATCAATCGAGTTTGCTATGCCAACAATACATTAGCACCAGCAACAAACCAAATTCCCTGAAAATCACCACAATATGTATATATATATATATATATACTATATGTATACATAGTGATCACTATTAATATGATGACTGAACTGGGATTTATTTGAATCTGAACACCCAATTGAATTTATTTTTTCGGAGCATAGATGATGTAACTAAAGCCCCATGTATGTATATATGAGGCATGAGGGATGCCTTTAATTTGGATATCAGCTTGTGTAATGAAATTGAAGATTATTCTGCTTTTTGAAGTAATTATGGTATAGGACATAAATGAATAAAAACCAAGATTAATAAAGCACCTAAAGATGAAGGTAATCAGAAAATCAAAACAAAATTGTATGATTCCGATTTTCTTGTGCAAAAAGAGAAGCTGACACCCACATTTTGATGGTGCTACAGCTCGTCACCATTCTACTTATTTACGTACAAATCAACTTGCAAGAAACCAGAGGATGTCAAAAAATGCATTTCATTTAAAACCATGGATGACTGTATATATATATAGCTCAAGTATCAAGTTAAACCACCCTGGATAAAGTAAATTATGATCTCAGTCTGTAAACCATCTTAAAAAAAAAAAAAAACAAGTGGTATTCAGCTACTTTTCACTATTATTAGATCATATCGGTGGATGAATAATCAAAGTATAATTTTAGAAGAAACTAGCTTGAATATCAGCTAAGGACATTACTGTCCAATCACTCTTAACATTTTTGCTACATAAACCCTAACACGCAACACAAACAGATCTTTCATGAAAAACACAATGGCTCCTGCTCAACTTCTCTCCTCCTTTCTCTTTACTTCTTTGCTGCTGCTTTTGTTCATCTCTCCTTCCATTTGTTATAGGCCTGTTAATGATAAGAAAGTCAACCTGTCTCTGTACTACGAAGCTCTTTGTCCAGGTTATCAGTACTTCATTACTGATGGCAATGGCTTAATCAAGCTCTTCAAAGAAGATGGACTCATCGACATTGTTAATCTTCGGTTTGTTCCCTGGGGCAATGCTGAACTTAAACAAAATGACACCATCGTTTGCCAGGTTTTCTTGTTTTTCATTTTTAATTTATCATTTTTCTTAAATGTTCTATAGTTTTCTCCTTCATATGCTGTGAAGTTACTGAATCTCATTTCTAATGAGTATATTAAAATTACATACCAAAATTTTGTATGCAGCATGGAGAAGAGGAATGCTACTACAATACTATTTATGCATGTATCATACATGCGTTACCTGATACGGTACACCTGATTTCCTTAATCTTTCGTATACTACGATACTAATTATTATTATAAACTATTTTTTATCATAAATTTTTTTGTACTATGATACTAATTATTAATATGTTAAGTTTGATCTTAAATTTTCACAAATGTAACTTGGAACAGTTTGAGCATTCCATGATGATTTATTGCATGGAATACATGTTAAAAGCAAACAACTCTGGATATCGTGGAAGTGAAGTATGGCGAGAATGTGCTAAGGCATTACTGTATCCTCAGGAACCCATTCAGAAATGTTTTGAAAGTGGATTGGGAAAACAGGTTTTGCTCCATTCATAAACTTATCAATCCAACCAAAGCATATTTGTGTTCTTGCCTAAATCTTAGCTTTTGATTAATGCTGATAATAGAAATTTAATTGTAGCTTGAGCTGGCTTATGGTAAAGAAACTGATAATCTCTATCCACCTCTTGAATTTCACACCATGGGTGGTTGTCAATGGTCAACCTCTGGAAGTGAGTACACACTTCTTCTCTATCATCTATTTGCATATGATGATATATCTCCTTTTCATAATCATCTCAATAATATACTTCACTTGTGCAGAACTATATGGATTACATTTGTTATATCTGCAAGGCTTACAAGGGGAAAAACCAACCAAAAGTATGCCGTAATTCAGTTCCAAGAAACAAGATTGCAGATTCAAGTGTGGCTGGAATTTGCGTTCGAGATTATCATTATTGTCAAGACTCACAGCAGAATTTACCCATAGTTGTTCACTCCGAACCACCACCGAGCCCACGAAATTTGCTTTATCATCAAGACTCACCCATAGGAAGAAGTTCACTCCGAGCCACCATCGAGCCCACAAGATTTGCTTTATCATCAAGACTCACCCATAGAAGTTCACTCCGAGCCACCACCGAGCCCACAAGATTTGCTTTAATTGATTCCAAAGCTCAAGATAAAGCCATGAATTTGTGTGATCTTCTGCATCAACTTAGTTCTGCTGGTTTAGAGGACTTATTTGTTAAATAAGCTTTTGTAGTTTGTCTCCATTGGTTATTTGTGTTGAGATTTTTATTTCATGCAGCTATTAGTGTTTGGTTTAAGGTTTTGTACTTATGAAGGATTTGAAGAAGGTCGACTAGTTTAAAAAATATATATATGTATGTATGTGACTTCTTTCTGCAAATTTTCACGAGCTAAACTATATATATATATATAAATGATATATATGGTTTGACTTTTGACTGAACCTTTCACTTTCATATATGCTAGCATTTATATATTTCATTAATATGCCACGGGGAGAGGTTAATTTCTTCCTCCCATGAATTCTCAACAGTAGTTTAAGTCGGTCTTTTGTACAGAAGAGGCGACCTGTGGAACGGTATTGCAAATTCCAGTTATTGCATTCTGAGTTAGTGACAATACACATAGGTAAATTTTTGAGTTTATCTTACACACATGTTAAGATTATATTAATCAAATTTTTTGTGTGATTAGAATCGGAATTTACCGAAAGACCTGATAAATAACAATTTTGTTCAGCATCTTTCATTACTTGTTTTTTTGGTAAGATGGCTCTTCAATGCATTCATAAAACTAAAAATAATCATACTTTGGCATGACATCACTACTGCAACAACTCCTGTATTCAGCATTTTCAGTACAATAACTTCCTGAATTTCTCAGCCATAGAAACAACAAAATAACATAGACTCACAAATTTGTTCTGTATGATATGGAGAGAATTAAGTCAATTCCTAGGATTGAATTAAATTTTACTACTAAAAAAAAAACGTTAATCTATAGTTTACAATGTGTCACCACTAACAATATGTTTACATATCAAAAGATGCCAAAAAGCAGATTACATCAAATATAGTACACAAACAACTTAGTGGAAGGACCTCTTAGTTTCTATCGCTTATTTATCATCTTCCAAATGTTGTCACATATATCATAGGAAGTCATCTTCGTTGGGTCAAATGCAAATTTCTCGAGCACTTTTTTGTCCCTATCCACAATATCTGTTATTCAATTGATTTAAGGACAATCCATGTGCCATTTGAAACTGCGTTAGATCTGAATATAGCTGCAAACCAAGACAAGATACTTTCTATAAAAGGGAAATAAGGACCTTTTCTCCCCCAAAAAAAAATGAGAGCACAAGGATACGGCCTGAGATTTCCAATTCATCATTCAAGTCTGGAATAATATTTGTTACAGAAGCTAACATTGAAAGCTTTCTCCTGCAAAATCAGACAAAAATATTTCATCTTCAACCATCTACCAATCTCCCTCCTTGGAAAGAAAAAGGACAAATAAGCCACCCAGCAACAGATTACAAAAAGAAGTTCTCATTTTTTTTGAAATAGAAAGTATGAGGTGTATATTAACAAAAAGGAACTAAAGGGGTGCCACGCCCATGTATAAAAATATTTACAGTTCAATCAGTATATTAATAAAATTCTCAAAATCTTCCACCCTATTAATATCATGACCGAAACATGAAGAGCCTATATGCATCCATCTATCCCTCAACTTCAAGATCCCACCCTCAATTCCTTCAAATGCCCTTAGGTTTCTCTCTTTCCACATAATCCAAAAAATAGCAAGTGGTATTAAATTTACAATTTTCTTCACCCTACTTAACCCATCCCAAACCCACAGTTCATTTCTCACATAATCCGCGATGACCCAATTAATATAAAGTAACCATATACCAAAGTCCATAGGCTGTAGGCAACAGGACACCAAAGCAGAAAGAACTTCTCATGGCCATATAGATATTCTTGAACAATAGATACATTTTATACTGGAAAAATCAAAGAATATCATCATGATTGGGATGGATGATGTGAGCATGGACAACATGGATACCCACAAGCATGCCACCCGCGAGCAAGCCTGCAGAAATGCCACCCGCGCGCATGAAGACACACGGGAAGGACACGCCACGGACATCGCGCACATGCACGCAGCATAGGAGCCGCGCACGCGGACCCCATCACAGGGATGGTCCCGTGTGCACACAGGGGGAATACTCACGCTCGCAGGAAGGGGATTTATCCTGCGGGAATACTGAATCCTCCTTCCATGAGGATTTCTGCGGCCCTAACACCAGAAAAGAAACCGATCTTGGCCCAAATTTGTTTTCTAATCTGTCACAAGTCCCAGAACAGCCCAAGATCATTCAAGACGGGCTTGGAGAATTAGGAAAACGGATTCAGATGCCTTTAGACCCAATCACAAGAAATAGGGCCCAGAAACTTCAACAAACTTCCAAACTTTTGGACAAAGAATGGATAACTGAAGACTTGATTTTGGAGGCCCAAGAATTTGAAAGAAAAGACCCAAGTTTCCGGGGCAACCAATGGCCCAAGCATGCCATGCATGTGAGTGTCCTAACTCACATGTGCGGCCAAGAAGAGGAGTCCGATCCCGCGGACTCCTTGCAGCATGAGGAGCCCTCCTCACCCACAACTCTTGTCTTTTCAAAGACCGATTGAAGAGTCCTTTTTGGACTTAAGGAAGCGGCAAGAGGAAGATAAGGATCAAGGGAAAACTGAAGAAGAGTTCTATTGGAAGAAGAAGTCGCGAGAAAGACAATCCCGCAAGGAGAAGAGTCCTACCTGCGAGGGAGAAGTGCAGTCCGAGAGGGAAACTTCTTTCCCCTATTTTCTCACATGTTTCTTATTTTTCTTTGTGTTTCATTTCAGGTGGAATTCAACAAGAAGAGTCTACATGATGACAGAGAGAATGCAAGAGGAAAACAGCTTCTTGGATAAATCACACGGAGAAATCGGCCAAGAAATTCAAGAGTCCTAGCCGAATTCTCTCACTCCATTCTCAAAGAAATTTCGTTATTCTTCAACTTAAACATTTCAAGAAATCAATTAATTAATGAAAGAACAATTCAAGAAGATGAAGAATATTCAATCCCGACGACTCCAAGAATCAGCCATGAGAGGAGAAGATCTATCCTAGTTAGATTTGTTTATTTTAATTATTATTTTAATATAATTTAGGTGTAATTATTTTCAGAATTTCATTACAACTTTAGAGTTTTATTTTATTTAAAATTAACCCGGTGAATGCCTTTATAAAGGGCTCACTCCTAGGTTGCAATACATCCACTTTTCATATTAATAAAGTTTCAGATTATTTCTTTTAGCTTGTTGCTAATTGTGAGAGCGTTCAATTAAGAGAGGTTGTTTCAACCATCTTGTTGAGTCAAAGAATCGAATCAATTTATCAGGTAAGCCATGATGTCTTTTCTATTTCTATTTTATCTCCTAGTTATCTTGATTTGCATTCACAGGATGAATATGGTTTAAGTAAGGACAGTTTAATTAGGGATTTAAGATTTCTGAATGCTACTGCCATATGTGGGTTTTTCGATTGCACTGTTGATCCTGGATCCCACATCAGGATAGATAGGCTATAACAAATTCTAGATGCAGTTAAGTGATGAAAAATTCAAAAGCAAACCAGCCCTAGTTGGCTGCATTACTTTATTCCCCTAATGATTACGAATGATGGCAGTGTTAGGATGGATTTTCAAGAAGCAAAATCTGTTTTGAGAATCAGACCTGTTCTTTCAGGGTCTATAAGAAAAACTCCCAACAAAAATGCCCAAAAAATATTTTGAAGGGGAAAATGAACTAGGCTTTTGGTTCTATTTAAAAGACATGCAGGCTCAAATCACCAGAAAGGATAATCATTGACAGGGGCAACCAAACACTGAGAGTAGTGCACCTGAACCTACTGAACAATGGAAGAAAACTATACTTCTGAATCTTTACCAACTCCCAGATTTAGGAAATGGCCAATGTCCATTGAAATTTTATCCCAAACCTTTCCAACAGAGGCTCACACAAAAGCCAGTTTCTTCCAGAGATAAAACAAAATAACTTTCTTTTTTAAATAAGTGATCAAACAAAATATCAACTGTATATTCAGAATGAGTATCTATAAGCCTTAAGCCCAGATCACCAACTTACTGACAGAAAAAGAACATAAAAGCCTTATGAAATCAAACTTTCGGTTTTTGAAACTAGAAGCTAAAAAATCAAAATGTCTAACTATTACCACTATCTCAACAATTGAGTATGCAATCAAGGATGAAGGTGAAAAAACAAATGAGATTGTTCAGTCTATCTACTTACTGTTCCTTGAACTCCTGTTGATTGACTTTCTTTAACACTTGCTTTCGTTCTTCAATCCAAATTATTTGCTGATCCAGATCATTAATCTCATTGGTTATTACTGTATTCAAAATTGAAAAAAGATGTTCAGAAGAAAAGAATAAATGCCTTTGTTAGTCAGCTAGGAGAGTATTCGGGATTGCTTATTTGAAGCTTATAATCAGCTTTAAGCACTCATACTCGAACATCTGCATTTGGAAACGTCAAAATTCAGGATACTTACTAGTTTTTTAAAGTGACTTTAGAAGGTAGAAAATAGGCACTCTAATTTAAACTTTTTAGGTTCTTATCTTTTTATCTGACTTAATTTAGTTAATTATCCTTTTGATATCTTTTTAAAATTAACAATACATAAATAAAATAATGTAAATAACAAAATGTATTTTCCATTCATCTTTTAATAAAAACCAACTACTTATTTTTTGCAATCAGCATTTTATATGTTTGCATAACTGCTTATTTTTTAAATAAGAATTTATCTGTTTTAAGTAACTTAAAACATCACCCAGTTGTAAGTATATTCCTTTAAGCAATCCCAAACACTTTAAACTAAAAAATACAACAAGTGCATTTTGTATATACTTATCTAAGTTCCTCCTTAAGCATACGCTCCTTGTCAAGTGCCTCTTCCAATTCTTTTTGTAGATGGTCAGTTTCAGCATCAGTAGCAAATTCAGACTTTGCCGCCTCAGTTTTCTCCTTGCAAGCGCTTATCCTCCTTTGATAATCTATCTCATTAAAAAACTCTTCAGTCGCAATGCTTAAAAGTCACAGAGATGTTCATTTACGATGATCCACATTCATCGAAGTCAGTGTTTTCCAAAGGTAAATCCAACATAGAAAAGAATGACCAAGTATAATCCAAAAATTTTTGAAGGCTAAAATCCCAAATCATTTGACTTTATTTCTCATCCAATTTCAGAATTATATCACTTCACAAACCTAGCTTATGATCATATCTCAAAAATTTTTAGGAAAAACTAGTAGAAATAACCACGAAGGCAAGCAAAGATTAGAGAAGACAGAAGTACCTTCAATAGATTTCTGAATCTCTTCGAAATCAGCATCACAAGAGGACTGAAGTACTTCTCTGTGCTCCAGACACTGGGTCAAGTTATTAATGTCCTTCTTATCCTTCAAAACCTCAATTAGATCGTTGCTGTAAGAAATTAACTTCTCCATATCTGTCTCCCTTGAGAAATTCCCCATTTTTTTACACCACTAGATCCTCAAGATTGCCAGATATGTGTTTGGTGATTTGAGCTAAATGAAGAAAAAAGTCAAAATCAAAAAACGAGGCTTCATAAGAAGGAAGACCAAATGCATAAACTGATCAGTTCATTCAATATCTGTCAAACAAAAGGTGGTTATCGGCTACACTTAAGGTAGTAATAATCAGAAATAAGCAAATTAAAACCACAAATGCTGATAAATTTCAAAATAATTAGTGATAAAATAAATATCATTTGGCATGGAAACAAATGCCAGAAACATTCATCACTGAATCTGAATTGGTTAAACTTAAACCTTCTTAATTTAAAACCAAGGGGTTAGGATGTCACAACAATGATGCAGGCAAAACTCCACAAAAAAAATTAATACAGAGAAATTAAGTTAAAAAAAAAGCAGGTTGGAGGAGGTAAGACACCCACCTGAAGCCATAGACTAATTTAATTTTTGCTTACACATTCTCAATCTAGGACCAAAGATAATATTCAGAACCAAAGATAACAGTTAATAAAGTAATCTAATGAAACAAGTTGGAGTAAAACTCAATTATCCAAAAGGTTCCCAAGCATGCATTTAGATCCTAACAAAATCAAACTTTATTTTAGAATCCCCATTTCTCAAGCATGCCCTGGATTGCAAAGGTACTCTTTGTGTAGATCTAACATGGTTATTTCCAAGCAAACATGTTCCCATATCAAAGGTTCCAAAAACAGTCAGTTAACCCTTTTGATAGCCCTGAACAGCAAACAAATCTGCCAATTCAGTCACCTAAACATTATTCCAAAAGTTTGCCGTCAAGCGATGCAAAAACCCATAGAAATATTTATGCATTTGTGGTTAAAAATGGAATTTTGCATCTGAAACATGCCAAAGTAGCCACTTTATCCTTCCAAACAGTGCCAAATTACTCACACAATTGTAGAAGCTTATAACACATGTCTAAAGTAAAATCTAGATTTCGAGGGGAGCAAAATCTGTCAGCATAGCCGTTGTCTTCTTGTTAAAAAAAAAAAAAAGAATCTCAAAAGTAGCCAATGAACATTTACCTAAGCAAGCCTGATCTGAATGCCTAAATGACAAAATTTGTGTAACCAATTCTCATTATCTTGAAACCCTCAAATTGCATCACACAGACACACCCCAAACCTCCTGAAAAAAATTGGGGCTGTAACACAATTCACCATTGAGTGAGGAGAATAACAAGTTCAAAACAAATCCTGAAACGTAAAATGGATTTGAGATTCCAAAGCAAAAACACAAAACAGATCTAGACACACTAGGGAGAGATAAAGCCAAAATTGAAAAGAAAATGAGGAGCCCAATCTGACTTGATTTAAACAGATTTGCAATACTTGCAAGGGGACCAAAACCAAATTTTAAGGACTATTAAAGAAGGTTAAACAGATTTGAAATAATGAACAAACTTAGAATATTTTAAGAATAACATGACAAGGTCTAAAGAGTACACAGCTACTTAAAACTAGTGTTAAAAATTCAAACCCCAAGCTTAGAGAGGATAGTAACAAGTCTAAACCCAAAATCAGAGTAACCATAAACAGGGACAATAATATTCATGCCTGGTCATAGATTCCGTGATCAAACATTAACCTAATCATTTCTATTCATCATCCAACAATCAACGTAATGAAATACGAACTTGAAAAAGGGAAGTGATAAAGATTTTATCACCCACAGCTAGGTGCTTTTGAAGTTTCTTCTTTTCCTTCAGTTTTGATGAATCTTCCCAGCCCCCTAACTCACTCTCTCTTTTTCCTAAACAAGCTTTCCAAGACCTTCTTTTACTCTCTCTGTCTTTCATTATAACCATGCACAATATGGATAATTCCTCACAAAACAAAACCCAAATTAGCAGTAAGACGGTGATGATACCTGGACTTCATTATTTAGCAGCCCTTACAATATCCAGGGAACGGGACTAACCAGGAAACATAGTAAAGCAAAATGTCACGATATTCATATCACGGAAGTTTGAGAAAGGAATTTTAGAGAAAATTACCTAGGTAGCACCCAAAATAAAGATCCCTTTATTGTTGAAATCCCCTCGAACCGACTTCAAGATTTCTGCTTGCTTTATCAAATCCCGAACCCAGAAGCCGGGTCGTTCTCAATTTCTTTAACTTCCTGTTCAGGCGCGGAACTGAGGAAGTCGTCGAGGATCTTTGTGGTTAAATGGCCACCACAGCTCAATACCGGAGATGGAGTGCACACGTTGAATGAGACAGAGAACTTGGTAGATAGAGTAACTCCGGGCTCCGCATAAAATTTATCCCAGGCGAGAGAAAAGTAAGAGAGAAAGAAAACTCAAATTTGGAATCGAATTTAAACGAGGAAGGAAGACCTAGAATCATACAAAGGTGCCACACGTCAAATTAAAATTTCCAAGGGAAAAAACCCATTCGTAGCTAATTGGTTTTATGCAGTTCAAGAAGTCCAAAATCATTTTTGTTATTGAATAATTGCATTTATGTTTGTTCTGCATCTTTCCATTTTATTCAATCATTTCTACATTGACAGATTTAGATTTAATAATATACTCATTGTTTTCTTCAATAATATTGCATTCTACATTATAAGAAAAAATGTTCTATATATTTCACAATTCTACCAAATTCTTGTGGTAACATAATTTATCAAGGTCTCATTATTATCATTTTTACATACTTTGAGCTTTTTTTTTTCTTGAACTTTTATGATTAATTATGTCAATAAACCCTTCACGAGCACATACCTTCTTAGATTGGGAATCTTGATTGTTAATCTCTTCATCAATTTGAATATTTCGATAATATAAACCTTTTATTTTTTTAGTATTATGATCTATGACACCAATTCATCTACTGTATTTAATGTGTGCATACGATACATATAAATTTTCCAACATGAACGTCAATACCAATTGGTGCACTTATAGCTAGTACATGTGATTTTGTTTTTTTTTTTTTTAATGTCAATGAATGTATATAGTAGTTGATTAGCTATATTTTATGAATGAATTATTTTTTAACCTTCTTGTTCAGATTAATTTATTTGTGAATCAATATGTGATAAACACAACGTATTTTAAGTGATTTCTTTATCAGTTGTTTATTTTTTCTCCTTACTTGTAATCAACAAATTAAATTCGTAAAAATATTTTTTAGTGAGTGGATTTAAATGTTTAATTATAGATGAAAATTTACATCCAATATATATTATTATCTTCTTTAAATACCCATTTTTATGCATTGCTGCAAAGTAATTGGAATATATATCGTCCACCCAAAAATTCTAATGTAGGAAATGTCTGGCTCCTGACCATAAGGCAATTGCAAAAGAGAGAACTTATGGTAATTTGTGGAACTTAGAGTATAAGTGCTACTGCACGTAAAATAGTATGTCTCTAAACAAAAATGGGAGTTTTGTTCTCTAAGGTAATCATTTGGCTATTAATTGGAGATGTTTAATTAAAGATTTAGCCAAATCATTTTGTACATTAATATGAGATTTAGAATATTTGATAGTTATTCTAATAGTTGAATAGTAATAATTAAAAAAATTATATGTAAATTCATCAATATTATTAAGATGGATTCTCTTGATTATATATATTTAAAAGAAAAAAAATCATGACATTAAAAAAGAAGTAAATTAAGATGTTCGAGAGGAAATAAATCATGATGCTAGAAAAAAAAGTAAATCAAGTTAAAGGGTAAAATTATATCATTTATAATTAATTATAATTAATTGTGTATTCCATTTTATGTCATAGAAAACATATATATATATATATAGAGTTATAATATTCGATAGAAGCATATCAATCGGAAAATTATTCTCAACATGGTACTAGAGTAAGTTAAGAAATCACAAAACTTCTATAAATTATATGTGAATTTCCTATTTTATTTTTTAGATATTTTCCTATTTTATTTGAGTTGATTTTGATTGATTTTTGCCACATATGTTGTTGGATTGTCATTGGCACTTTTCAAAAATGATTTTAGGACTTAGAAGCAAATTAGAATGGATTGGAACAAGATTTAGATGAAAAAGGGTTAAAACATGAAGATGTGGGGGACATGGCCATAACACACGACTATGTATTATGGAGCCAGTGTTTCTATTTCTGAGGAGGAGTGAGACACCGGCATGCTCCTAAAAGACACGGTCGTGTACCCTATATTGGGTCAACACACGACCATGTGTTAAGTATGCAGCATTTCTATTTCGCTAAGTGAAAGAGACACAACCGTGTGTCCGGGAGACATGGTCGTGTCGTGTCTAAAAGCTGAAAATTGACGTAATTTTGAAGAAGAGACGGTCGTGTCCGAGATCAGAAAATTAGGTCTTGAACAATATAAAAAGGAGAGGATCTGAAAAAAAAAAAAAAAAAAAACACAAACCGGAGGACGAGAAAAAGAAGACGACTACAGATACCAAGAACTTCTTCTAGTCGGTTATTCTTAATCATTTCATGTTTCCTTTAGATTTTATTCTTGCAATTTTGTATAGAATCTGTAACTAAACTTTCTGTTGGAATGATTCTATAAATTTGATGATTGAATGTTAATGCACCGATTCATACTAATCCATAGAGATATGTGTGTTATTATGAAATAGGTAGAATAATTGATCTCGAGAAAAAGATTACTACATGATTAAATGAAATTGGGGTAAAGTTCTGGTTGTAGATTGAATTAAGGAAATTCATAGTTGAACTTAGGGTGGATTTTAAGATCTTAATCGTTATTATATCTTGATTGTTAATTAATCTTAATTCATTGTTTTTTGTTGTTGTTAAGTTTTAGTTTATACTCATTCTCTTAGTTGTTGGCCAAATAATATCAATTAGTCGTTATTTTAGTGATTGTTATATTAGTCCTCGTGGGACGATATCCGAATTTACTGCTATAATACGTGTTCGAACTAGTGACCTGCTAGGTGAGTTCACATCACAACAACCTTCATTGCCGAAATTAAAAAAAATATATTAAAAGCCAAACCTTCATAACTGTAGACCCTCCTGTCACCCGTGACCAGAAGACTGACCACCTCTACCTCTAGTTAGCCTTCATAGTTGGCCCTAGAATTCGTTGTTTCTCCCTTTATTACCATAGTCCAAATCGCGATA